CCCCCTTCCAGGTACCCCCCGAGGCTATGCTGCCGCAGTACGAGCTGGATGACGGCCCACTGGACCCCACACAGGTGACCTGGGCATGACGGCCGCACAAGCTCAGCCCCAGCTGCTTGGGGTGTGAATGCGGTGCCGCACCTCGAGCGGTGCCGCCATTTCAGATGCCATCACTGATCACGCAGCTCGAGCACACCGGAGCGCACACAGAACATGCCGGCGCGCGCTTGACCTGGTTTTGGATGTGCACACGGGCTCGCTTAGCTTCATGGTCACTGGCGCGCACTCGCACAAGAGCGCGCACACACACGCATGCACACGCTCGCACACACACACACACACATACACACACACACACACACAAACAAACACACAAACAAACGACTCATCATCTCACACTTGACATGTAACTGCATGTGAAGGGCGAGCTTCCTGTGCGTGAGCGGTTGTGCAAGTACGCGCGGGAACACGTACTGCTGAAAGAGAACGAGCTGTACGAGGATGACACCGACCACGCGGGCGACTAATATGAGTGACGCCTCGAGGTGACTGACGTGGATGACCTCGGGTGACATTGTCGTGGTGACAGGCATGGCTGGTAGTTGTGCAAGGCGCAGGGAATGGGTGGATGTGGGGCCTGCAAAGTCAGCAGGAGCGCGGAATTCTGGCGGGTGCGCCGCTGCGCCCTTGGGACTGACCTTCTGTCGAATACTTACTGTTCACCTTTGCCGTGGCTATGTTTTCCTGCTGCCGCTGCAATCGCGGCTCGACCATCCGTTTTGTGTGTGTGTGTGTGTGCTGGTCCATGGTTCCTGTCACTTGACAAGCACACTCAGTGCTGCGCTTGCAAGTGTAAAGGTTGCCCTGCTCTCTGAAGGATTTCAGTTGCAGCTCTGCGCCCTTGCACGCAACAACATGTTCTCGCACACACGAATCAATCGACACCAACCAGTCGTCCACTCTCAGCCAGCGAATGCATTCTTTACATCAACATGTGAAAAGCCACGTCAACAGATGACTTCTTGTGTCCCAAGGCCACGAGAGTGTGCCGGAGTGGGCCATCCGCCCGATATCATAATTGTCTTGAATCAAATTCTGCAGAGGGCAGCTAGTGAATTCTAGCGTGGTGGCTCCTAGCGGGTGCCATAGCATGCATGCAAACAGAAAAAGGTGGTGAAGTCAGCACAAAACCAGATTAGTGATTCCAGGATTAGTTAAGAGGTGAGCCACACATTTCTTGAAGATCATGAAACCCGTGAGGTTGGCTAGATTTGGCACTTTAGCCCAGCTTGTTCAGCATGGTCAGCGCACCCCCTGCCAGCCAGCCGCATGTAAAGTCACCTCGCGCTGCCCAAAACTGCGCAAGCTGCCCGTGCAAGAAATTGGCCACGCAATTGCAGCGCAGCACTCGTGCCGTTTTGGCTGTGACCTTGGGCACCTAGCGGGACGCCGCACGCTTCACGACGACTCCAGCTCGTGCCCCCGCCCCCCCCCCCCCCTGC